ATAAGTAATTCAGTTCTGTGTCTTTTGGGCCGATCTTAGCGGGGTCTTGTAGCGCTAAAGCTATGCTCTACACCGCTTTAATTACGAACGGTTATGTTTAGAAATGACTTGGCTATAAACGAACTTTCTTGACTGTTCTCTAATTCCCCCTTTTTGTGAAGCTGCATCATTACTAATGTTCTAGAGCTTTCCCAATTAATTAACTGATCCGCGGACTTCTGAATTACTTTATGCCTATAATCCGAGATCCAGATCATCAATCATTCCTTTGTTCCGATTTATTTGAGTTTAAAATCAAAAGGTTTTGATGAATCATGGGAAAATATACAAGATCCGGTTTTTTAGCATTTTCTCCTCTTCTGATGCGATCAAAAACTGTCCGCCCGCGCCGGGGAATACTCTGTCATATGGTATTTGGTCCGCCAGACTTCCGGGTGCCAATATATTTCCTTTGAGTCACATTACTTTTTATAAGAATTAGCAAATAAATATATATGAATTATAAGGTGTTTCACCGTTTGAGCAATATCTCCGTCAGTTTTGAAGCTTTTAGAATGAAACAAAACCGTGGATAAAGTTTAGAAACAGTCCTTTCAGATGGTAAGAAGATTACAGTCAAAAGTTTACTGGTTCCCGAGATATTCACATTCCTTTCCCAATGTTTTTTCTTATTCTGCCGTCTATGTGCTATTTTCTTGTTGTAGGGATATGTTCTTTGAATATTACACCTATGCCAGGTTCTAGGCATGCTTGTAGTAGATTAAATCTCATGCTACATGGGTGCGGGTAATTTAGAATGATCTTCCAATGTCTGTCCAGTCTCATAAAGATCATGAGATCTGTTAAACATCTGAACTTGTCACCTGATTGTTGACTATTCTGATAGATCATTGTTTTATTCTTTGAATATTATTTCTCCTGCAAACAGGCACAGCAGGATAATTGCAGTCCCTTGCAATTTCACACTAATTCTCGACCATGTTGTTGCAACCATTCTTCCTGTTAGTCAATTGACCCTTGATTTTTCCCTGTTGTTCATGCCAATTCTCTCGTTTCTGAGTTTTTGGTGTCACTGGAGTAGTTTTTGAATCGGTTATTGGGGTGGAAATAAGTTGCTAGAGAATTTTTGGCTGTCTTTTGGATCAGTGGTATATGGAGAGGTAGGTTCCATAGTTTTCCTAACACAAGAAGTTCACATATGTTGCTTAACCATGTGTTGCCACTTTATAGTCCCTGATTGTCAATCAGTCCATAGTTGCATAAAGTTAAAATAAGGAATAGCATATTGGATTGCAGAGGAACATGCGTGCATTTATGGTCATTCATTCTGCAATGTTTTTGTTTCTGTTTTTGAGGTTTAATTTTATTCAAGGTTGAACTTGTCCGGTACACTAACCATTTGTTCCTTGAATTTTCTATGTTTTCATCAGATAAAAGAAAGTCATAAAAAAAAGATTGCATAAGGAAACATAGATTTGCAGCTATACAGGTTTTCGACCTTTGATACTTGTGATTGGGAATACCAGGAGTAGCTTCAGGTCTGACACTATTCCTTGGTATTATACTCCTCCCTCCACCATTCCTCTTTTCGCTCTACAGGCCATATTTTTTCCGCATACAATACCCTATTATCCAACTGATAAGTTTCCATCACCACTTGCAGTTCCTCCAATGTATCCAAGTTGAGTTGCTGGACTCTTCCATAGATTCGATCTTGAAATTCGCGATAGAATGCCAGTGTGTTACAAAAATGGGGCCGGAGGCGCCCATTTTCATCTGTTCTTGGCGCAGGAAAGTGGAAAGTGGAGGTGAGGTGGTTCATTAGGTTTTACAGGTGGTTTCACAGTTGTTGTAACATGAGGTTTAACAGATGTTAGCACAGCGGGTTTTTTGGTAATTGTTGATTGGTTAAACTATATTACTATATAGATCACATGATACAGAACCCATAGGGGTCTAAGATGGGGAGTTCCCATTTCCATAACACAGTGGGTTATTTTTCCGTGGAATAGTGAGATGCATTGTTGCATGGTACAAATGTTCCCAAAGATCAATTCCATTACCTCTTCAAGATCTTTGATCATCGGCATGACTTTATATGGTTTAAACAGACTTCCTAATCGATGCAGATTTGCTCAGAGATCCATTTCGTCTTGGACTAGATTGAGACAGTCCCGGGTCGTCTTCCAAGTTCTATCTAGGTCGGATTCTAACTGAGTTAGATGGTTGTTTAAGACCACATTAATAAATTTTACCCCTTTCGGATATCCCTGATTATAATCACATCCGGAATGGGAGCGGAAATGGACCGGTTTCGGTAATTCCATTTAGCAGCGGCACTACCCATGGGCTGATCACTTGAAGAAGAAGTCGTGGGTAGGTCCGAGCTGGAATCACTTGGACATCCATAGGCCAGGTCAAATACTTCCTTCCCATGCATTAAAATATCCGATCTAATTCCGTCACGTTTCTGGAATCCTTGCTGGGCTTTCTCCAAAAGGAAATCTAATTCAGAATCTGTTTCCCATTGAACTGAATTCATAGGTGAGTCAGATCCAAAAGTAGTACTTTCTTCATCAACTTGGCTTTCCTCAGGATTTCCCATTCCTTCATTCTCTTTTGTCAGTTCCTTCTCACATTATGTTAAGCGGATGACTACACACCGAGGAAAAGGGTCTTGGGGATAGCTGGTGTCTGGCTGGCAGTTATGACCGGAACGGTCTTGAAAACGACTTGAGTGTTTGGGAATTGCATATTGATAAGTTTCTTTCAGATGTTCAGGTGTTAGATACTGAAGGCTTGTTGAGCCATCTGTTAGAACAGGTGGATTTGGGTGACTCCGGAATGGAATCGGAGACTTAGCATGGAAGGACCTTGGCCTCAGCGACTCAGGTGGAGCGCTGTGCCATTGCTGGTTGTCCTGGGGGTCCCTAATTTCGGATCTAGCAGAGGGAAAGTCTCTTGGGGGGAATTCAGGTCAATTTCAGACTGAGGCTACAAGTTACTATGTACATTGTATATAAGGAGGGGTCCGGAATCAAAAGGAGCGAGGGTAGGACGAAAGGAGACAAAGGGAGCTGGAAAGAGGAACAACACTGAGGGTCAAGGGTTTGACTCAATGGTGTTTCCCAAAGGAGGAGTGAAGGGCCAAGGCCCAAGGAGGAAGGAAGGAGGTTGGGAGTGGGGAATGGCTAGCTGGCTGAATAGAAAGGAAGCAGCAGCCCAAATAGGAGTGAGGGAGAATAGCGGAATTGAATAGGACAATGCAATAGTTGCAAGGTCCAACATAAGTCCAGAAAGTCTGAACTCGGAAGTTAAACTCCGGAATATTGGCAAAGTTAATTAAATGGAATGAGCTAACCAATACAATGGGTATAAGCGGAGGTGGGGTCAAAGTCCAAGGTCGGAGCTAAGACTGGAGGTTCCGGAGACGGAGATGCAAACGGGATACCGGAGTGGAGGTCCGGAGTCGGGAGCATAGGTTTTGCATACTCGTCTGGAAGGTGTCGAGGTTGGGGTCGGACCCGGAATGTTCCGGAGTCGGACCGAAGGTGGTGTCTGAGCCGGAGGTGGGATAACCTCTTGGGAGTTGGCAAGGAGAAGGTGACGGAAGGGAAGTAGGGCTCTGGAAGTCGGAGTTCGGAGTTCCGGGAGCCCGGAGCGGAGGTCAGGATTGTATGGATATGACACCATCGACCCCTGCTGGTGCTGCAGTTTTATAGTTCGATGTCTCTATTCCTCTTGTCTTCATCCTCCTTGGGAACCTATTGTTACATTTGGGTGGTTACACGTTCAATTGGCCTAGTCGTTCTCAATCCGTTGGCTCAGCCTCATTTTTCCATCTATCACTCCTTTTCCTCATGTTCTGTCATCAATTCTCCTGTCTCCTTCATTCACTTGTCTAGTTTGGTTGTCCATTTTTCGCAGGTTTGATTGCATCTTTAGTTCTTTCCCCCCTTTTCTCATTCTCGCTACACTAATCAGCCTCATGTTCCATTGTTCTACTATTTCTTTCTCCATCATTTTTGTGCTTTTCACAGATCCTTGGCTTGATTATCATCACGTCAACTCATCAAATCTCTCATGCTCCATCCTTTTCGCAGTCTGGCTCTGACTACTGTTGCATCAACTCATCAAATCTCGCCTTGCGCTTCTCGCACTGCTTAACTTGATTACCAACATGTCAACTCATCAACCCTTGCCTTTTACTCTGCCAATTTTCCACCTGATTCACAACTCTCGATCTCTTCTCGGTATTCTCATGTCTGCATGGATTTATCGTTCGGATCCTGTGCACTGCCTGAAGTTCCCCTTCTCCTTGGATTATGGGTTTTTCCCCAATTGAGTGTTTACTCTCCCTATGGATCCACTCCTTTATTTCTCCGCCTTCAGCTTCGACTTCCAGATCTTGCTCCTCAACTCAACTACCTGGCAACTTCTACTTCCTTCTGATCCTGTTTCCTCTGACATGACTCTTATTTACTCAAGGTCCTTTGCTCCTTTATTTTGTTCCCTCTGCCACTCGGATCTTACAACTATTCCCCTTGTTACTTTGTACATGTGTCATCCTCCACTCATCACAGTGTATCTGGCCCTGCTGGATCACTGTTTTTCTTTTCCATTGCAACAAGATTGCGATGTAATTTTTCCCACCGCGATCGACTGATGGTACTTAACCACCTCGGCGATCTGCTTGATGAGTTCAATGGGCGCTTGTACTGCCTTGACAATTCATCAACAGATTTCCAAGTTGGATTAATGTCTTGATTTCGATCAGTCATGATTAGGTATAGATCATGAATGCCTCATGGCATTCTCATTTGTTTGGAGACCGGAATTTGTGAAACGATCTGCCCAACGAGTCCATGATGTGCATTGGCTTTTGCCATTCATGCATTGTGGATTTTTCGGGTTGATCTTGAGCCTTTTCCAGGTATAACCGGATTTAGGATGGACATAGCACCTTAGACACATGTGCCTTGAATGAGCGAATTGCACCACTAAGGTATGTTTTTCGCTTTGCCCCCTTTTCTTTTACTTTTCTTTAGGTAATGTATAACCCAATATATCGGTACTGTAACCTCGATGTAAACAAAGAAGTTTCTGAATTGAGGAGTATATAAATTTAAAGAAAGAGAGCGAGAGTAGATCAAACAAATGATCAAAAAAAGAAAAAAAATCAAACAAAGAGTGGAATTGTGTTTATACATTAGGTCATGATCGACCTTTTGTAAAGAAATTTCGGAAGAGAAAATGAAGAAAAGAATGATGGAAGGGTGTTGCCATGCTGATCCGGATGGATAACGCCCATGACGGAGCCAAACCCACCCCTCCTCAAACGTTACTTCCCCAAGCCATGTCTTTTCATGCAAGACAGTGAAGGGAAGAAGGTCGGTTTGATCTCGTAGACGATCAGAGTCCAGATCATCATTAGTGCAACCCCTGTTGGATTATTGAGTGTAAAAATAAAAATAAAAATGAAAAAGTAGAGTTTGACATACTCCATTTTTACTCAAACATGTACCTCTCTCCCAAAGACTCATCGCTAGGAGGTCTCTTCACTGTTCAAGGAGGTTCACGAACTTGGTCTTGCGAGATATCGAGCCTGATTGGAATGGATCCATACAGTTTCAATCGACATGACAGTTGTCGCTCACTGTGTCCCCAAGGAATGTACATGTTGTCATTGGAATCATCTCCACTGTCCAAAAGTTGCTGGGGCCATCTGGTCCGTTGCTGTGATAGCTGGTTATGAATCCAAATGTAGGCAAAAACCACACTGCTGACGACAACAGCTAGAACAATCCCTAGGACTGTGGCAAGTTTAACGGTGACAGATGTAGTGGTCATGATTCGGATAGATAATAGATGTACAGCAGACAAACAGATTTGTCGACACTGTGATGGAAGTAAATGAAAAGAAATAAAGGAATGTTTTTCTTGGCTTTAGCCGTTAGTACTACAAACGTAAAAACGAAAGAAAAATGCGGGTCCACAGATGCTTCTCAGACCATGTCTGACAGACAATGTCTGGAGACCTGTTTTTGTTAATGGTTATGATTAAGAAATTGTGATATAGACCCTTTTGTCTTACTTGATGTCCTTTGCTCTCTTCGATTTCATCCATTGGTGATTTGTACTCATGGCTAATCTCGCTTGTAGTGAGACCATGAATATACAACGTTGGGTGCCATTGGTACACAGTTGGTGGGGATTGAGGGACAACTGCTTCAAAGGACTCGATCGATGGTGAGACTTGATTATGTCGACATCTCTCCTCCATTCATGTTCTTTGTCCTTCTTGCCATAACCTGATTATGATGTTGATTGGGTAACCAATGGTATGGTTCCACACCCATTTTCCCCAATCTCGTTGTGGGCCAATCAAGATTGCAAGGATACTGATGAAATAGAATGTAAAGAGAGTCAGAAGGAAAATCTGTAGAGACAATTAGCCTTTTTAGAAGTTATTTGATATGAGACATTACTTAAAATGTCTGCTCCCATGATGTTGTTATGTTTTTGGGGTTCGCTCGTCTTTGTTCTCAGCCACCAGCACATGGCTCTGGTGAACTATGCAACAAGTGAAACAAATTTCGTGAAAGTCACCTGATGTTACAATCTATTTAATTCCTTATCCGGACATTTCAGATGCAGAATCTTCTGTATTGGGATCCTCCTGTCTTTCTCGTATGTGAAACCACCTGAGACTAACAGGTGCTGGAAAGTACAGCTGGCCTCGAGGAGCATTTGTCTCCTTGTACCTGAAGTATTTTCTTGGGCCTTCCACTCTCTTGTGGTTTTTATAGTCCCATCTCTCTTCATATTTTGACGCTTCCTTGATTCGTTCATAGAGTGGTTCATAATTTTGCAGTATTGTCTCTCCTCTCTCAATCATTTGTTTTGCGTTGATTCCACCTCTCCCATACTTCATTCCAAAATTCCACCTCTCTCTCCTTGTGTGATTGGGAAGTTGCCATGCTACTGAAAGCAACTCCTAAAGTTTGCAAACTCCGCATGTTCCATATTTCCCTCATCACTCTCTATTCCTTCATCATCCATATCCATTTCGTCATCTGACCCTTCCAAACCTTCGCTATAGTCTTCCTCCATATATGTCAAAAAGTTTTTGGCATCTTGTTGCTCGAATTCCTCATCAGACTTAGTTTCGGACCTGCTTCCTTCAGACTCATCCTCCTGTAACTCCTCTGAGTCCTCTGATTCTTCCAATTCTTCCCTATTCTCTTTTCCTCTACTTTCTGCTACTATCGCGTGCCATCGTCCCATTTTCTCCTGAGTCTTTTCTAGAACAACTGGTTCAGCTGCATCTCGATAGTAAAATATCTTGACATGTTGCGCTGCTACAGGCTTGGATAGTACTGTACCATCCAATTCAGCAAGGATATAAGTTCCAGATGGCCTTACGGTTACCACGTAATATGGTCCAGACCACCTTAGGGCTCCCTTTTTTCCTTGTTGATTGTCCAATGAACTTTTATACACTAAAACCATCGTTCCTCGTGCAAGTGGTTTCCTATATCATTCTCTCCCGTGCTTTTCCCAATATGAATCAGTATTTCGTTTCCTTTGTAAGGCTAGATCTCTTGATGCTTGGTCAACATTCATATCTCTATCTTTTAATTGCTCCATTCTTAGACCCATAAATCGACAGTATCTTCGATCTTGTGCCACTCTAATGTATGCCAGGTTCACTCCGTGATATTGAATGGGAACATTGCCTCTTGTCCATAGAGAAGATAGTATGCTGAAAATCCCATAGCTTTTCGAGTGGTGATTCTATCAGCCCATAGTGCATAATGGAACCATTCCGGCCGCTTGTTGGTGTTTCCAACACATTTCTTCCACATGGCATCAATCAAATACCTATGACCAACTTCTAACATCCCATCTTTGAACTCTGAACCATTATCCATAATGAGTTGAGGTATACAACCATATCGACACATAATGTCCTCAAAAATAAACTTAACAATAGCCTGAGAACTCTTTGTACGAAGCATGCGAGCCTCTAGCCATCCTGATAAGTCATCTCAGGCATCTATGATGTAGTTAAACCCTGCTGCCTTTGGCATATGGACTGTATCTATTGCAAATTTCCTTAAGACGGTTCTGATGTATGTCAGTGATATAGGAATTTTCGGACAGTAACTGGATCTAAGCTGACACTCCTTACACGTTTGGCAAAACCAAGCAACAAAGTCATACATTCTGTGCCACCAGAACTTATCCGATAGATTCTTGTATGTGGGGTTTTTGCCTCGGTGTCCTGCTTCATCGTGTGCTTGGCTGCACATGTCCCACCTTTTACCTACATCTTCAACCACTAGTAGTGGAGGTTTAAAACCATTTCGCCTCCACAACCTTCCATCTCCCCAATAAAATCTTCTTGCTTGGGCTAAGATTTTTCGTCTCTCTTTCAAATCCATTGGTAACTTCATGCTACTTAGGTATTCTTCAATTGGTTTGAAATATCCCTCCTCTTGTCTGAGGTCTACTGGAATTGGTAATGGCGATTTTTCCGCCTCTTCCAGAATGATTTCCGCAGTTAACATTTCCAAAATTCCTACCCAAGTTAAATCCCTTTCGAATTCTTGTTCCACTGCCTTTGGGTATCTCCAGTTCACCTCCATTGGGGCACACTGTTCAATCCTATTGTCTATTCTACTCAACTTTTCAATTACCCAGGAAGTCCTAGTTTCTGGTTCTACTTCGTCCTCGGAGTTTATTCCTTCGTCAGAGCTTTCTAACTCCACTGATGAATTGTCTGATTTTATATACTCATATATTCCTTCCTGTGCACTTCTAGCAAATTTGAATGGATCTTCATAGTCCATTTCCGGTTCTGATTCTTCTGAATCATCCTCAGCTGGTTCTCTTCAGGACAATCCATCTGGAGCTCTGTGTCTCGTGGCAGGAACATGTTCCATTTCGAAGCTGAAGTGTTGTAAATATGTAACCCATCATGTCATCGGTGCATTGGGCAAGTCAGGATTATTGACCATTTGTATAAGCGATCTAGCATCTACTTTGATCCTAAAATGATAGCCCCAAAGATAGTGCTGACAAGCTTTTACTGCCCTGAACACTCCATATAACTCCAATTTTGGTTGCAAATATCTTGCTTCCACTTCACTAAACATCCGTGATCCAAACTCAATTGGGTACTCTATGTCATCTTCCATTACTTGATATAATCCCCATCCAACTCCTGTCTGTGCACTATCAACTGCTAGCGTTACTAGTCCGAGGTCTGAGGGCTGTTGATCCTTTGGTAGCATCTTTTTAGCTAATTCCAGATTTAATGGCTTGATTGCCCCAGACTCCCATACTGCTTCTTTCAAGGTGTCTGTCATATCCCGGAATCCCAACCCTGTGCACTCCCACCACACCACACCTTCCTAACAACTTCACCATCCCCTACACCATGTCTCCCCACTCCTCAAGAAGTCACCTTCCCTCCTGACTGTCTCAGCTCCGGTCTGGTTGTGGCCCACTGAACCTTGGCCACTTCCATCCCGGAAGCTCGGTCCCAAGTCGGAACATTCGGAGACCCCAGATTTGCTCCGATATCCCAACGGACCTCCGACATCCCGTGACATGCCCTTAAACCTCTCCCCCACCCATTTCATTTATTTGAGTCACCTAACATCCTTCGGATATGCAACTCCGCTTTCGGAGCTACCCGCATCCCTCGGTGATCTCACTTATTAGTCACCTTCTATTCTTAGCATGACTACCTTCTTCCTTTCATTCAGTTGGCTAACCCCCTTTGTCCATTTGTCTCCCCCATTCATTTTCCGGCCTCCAACTCCGCCCTCCCTGGCCCGACACCTTGGTTCCCTGTTAAGATATCGTTCGGGACCTTTTGGTACCTCTCGGTACCTTTCGGTGTTTCCCCATTTGTCATTTCGGACTTTGACTAAGTCCTCCCCATTCTCCTTTAAATACCCATAGATTAGAACCTGTAGTTCCTCAGTTCTAATCTCGACTAAAATGCCACCCAAAGTCCCTCTGAGTGAATTCCGCTCCCGTTCTACAAGATACCTCAGACATAAGAAATACAAGGACTAACTGAGACGTAACGGAGGCACAGCGCTCCCTCCGAGTTGCTGAGGCCACGTCCTTCTTAGAGCCTCTTGTACCATCCAGCAGGACTGGGCTCCCTGAGAAGCTTCAGTTCACTACCAGAGACCTCGGACCCCCCTCTAGTTGAGCCCTGCCTGCATTCGGACTCACGCATTTACCCCCTTTCCATCATGGGTTTTTGACAGTGTCCATTGCTTCTTGTGCTTCGTCCATCCATTGGAAATCTTCCTGTCCTCCTTTTCTTGTATACATAGTTAATGGCTTTGCAATTAAGGCAAAATTTCTGATCCATTTCCATGCAACTCCAACCGTTCCTAGGAAACCACGCACTTGCGAAACATTGCTACATGATTTCCATTTCATAATCTTAGAAAGAGTCTCGTGACTCACTCTTTGACCTTTTATGGATACGGTTCTTCCGACTAGATCCAATTCAGGTGTTGCTAGTACAAACTTTTTCCCTGATATGGTTATTCAATTCTCGCAAGTAACTCATGTAACGTATGAGCATATTCCCATACAAACTTTCGGATTTCTGAGTTCTCTGGGATACTGGCTCCCTTGTACAATTGGGGAGGCCCCTTCAACGCGATATCATCTACAAATACCCCAACTCGGTCTGACATTCCTTTTATTATGTGATATGTTCTTTGGCAGAATTCCACAACTGAATTGGTAAACCCTTGTGGTAAACACGTTAACTGTTGCGATCCTAAGTTAAAGGCATGGAAAGCTGTTAAGTG